ATCGTTTATTTAAAAAAAAAAAAAGAATCATTTGATAATTAATTTAATCACATTATTATCCGTGTGTGAAATACCTTTTTAATTACCGACATTACACGTCTCTTAAGATGTTTTGAACGTGTTTAAAAATAGAGAAAATAAAATTTAATAAATAACTGATTGAATCACATTATTGTTAGTCACTTGTGAGGCTAAACTCATCCACCCCCTAGATAATATCGTTTGTTAAAATAAAATAAAATAAAACAAACAATCATTTGACAACTTATTTAATCACATTGTTATCCGCGGGCGAAAAACCTTTTTTATAACCGGAATTACACGACTCTTAAGATGTTTTGAACGTGTTTAAAAATAGAGAAATTGAATCACATTATTGCTAGCCTATTGTGAGGTACTAGTTAAAAAAAAAATAAAAATAAAAAGCACCAAAAAGTATATTATTAAAAAAATACTTTGAAAATGACGAAAATGCCATTGCCTTATTTGATGTATTATTTTAGAATGCCTTTGAAGATTTTTGTTTTGGGGGCATTTTTGTCCAATTATTTTTGGTAAAGCATTATAACACCAAAACACCATTCACCTTTTGTGTTCTCTTTATATATAATAGATTCTTAACCGTGGTTTGTAATAATTATATCAAGATACGTACTCTATCCTAATGTACTGACTTAGCTAGTTCATAATTTTACATGTAGGTTTTGTTGGGGCTTAAAGGAACTTCACTACTTTGGAGATGTTTATCTTACAAAAAAAAAATGTAATGCAGTGGATATTTGATAGGCAAGAGAAATAAAGAACACTCAAGGTAATACACAAAAACTTTTTATTCCCACACAAACTAATACAAGAGGAAACACTCAAACACTCTCAATGGTCATGGCTAGTGTTTGAGTGTTTCCTCTTGTATTAGTTTGTGTGGGAATAAAAAGTTTTTGTGTATTACCTTGAGTGTTCTTTATTTCTCACTTCTTGCTCTCTTTTCTTTTCTTTTCTTTTTTTCCTCACAATTTTACAACTAAACATTTTCTTGACTATTCTAGCCTAAGTCAACCGACTTGGCTTTTTTAAATTGATGCTTTTTTGCTAGAGTTTTCTAGTCATAACACACTGACTTAGACTTTGCTAGAACTCTCTAGGATGTGCATGAATATTTCTTTGTGCATGGGCTATCAATTGTCTTGGGTTAAGATAGATTATCAATTCAAAAGGTTTCCTATTTAGCACAACAAATTGAAGCTACCATGCTACACATGTTCCCACATCAGTGGGGATAAAAGGAAACTATGGGTTTAAATATGATTACCCCATTTTAATTAATACAGGTTTTTTTTGTGGTAAAAACCTCACACTTAACAGATTGGGCATGTGATAAAGTTGGGGACAATATCGGTATCGTTAGAGTGGGGCTCGGGCCCGTCGATCTAAAAAAATTCAACATCGTATCAGAGCCCATGGTTACGAGCCCGTGCAAGCCAAGGGCTTGTCACAAGGAAGTGTGGGCTTGGAAACAAGCTTGGACGCTTAACATAGAGTTGGCCTTTGAGTTCTGAGAGTCATTTCCTGAAAATGATTGAAAACAAGTTTGGACTCCATTGGAGCTGACCTCTGAGTTTCAATTGTCGATATGTGGATTTTCACTTGTGAACCACTAAATAGGGTTACACGTAAGGGGGAGTGTTAAAGTCCCACATCGGTGGGGATAAAAGGAAACCATGGGTTTAAATATGATTACCCCATTCTAACTAATACCAAAACTTTTTGCAGTAAAAACCCCACACTTGACGGATTGGGCAGGTGATAAGGTTAGAAGTAGTATCAGTGTCATTAGAGTGGGGCCTCTGGGGCCCGTCGACCTTAAAAATTTCAACAACATATATGCCGGCTCCTTGTCATCATTTTTTGGCTTCTTTTGCACTGCATTTTCTTTGTTACTTCCGAAATTCGGTACATCTCATTCACTTCCATATATATCAAGCAGTAGACTATAAATCCTTCCACAAGCAAAGCTCTGGTTACTAAAAGAAACCATGGGGCATAACAATGGGGTTCCTCTTCCCTTCATTTTCTCTCTTGTTGCATTGTTTCTGTTGGCTCTTCAAGTCAACGTGTCTTTCGCAGATAGGTCGACATATATTGTCCACATGGACAAGTCCCTCATGCCCAAGTCCTACACTAGCCATGACCATTGGTACTCCTCCATCGTCGATTCATTCAAATCCGAGAACCCTACCTCGTTCGATGGCAACAAAATCTTGCCTTCCATTCTGTACACCTATGACAATGCCTTTCATGGGTTCAGTGCTGTGCTATCTGCTGATGAATTAGTGACTCTAAAAAAGTCCCCGGGTTTCGTCTCAGCTTACGCTGACAAGTCCATTACGCTCGACACCACCCACACCACTCAGTTCCTCAACCTCAATCCTTTCGCCGGACTGTGGCCTGCTTCGGATTACGGAGACGACATCATCATTGGTGTCATTGATACCGGTCTCTGGCCGGAGAGTGAAAGCTTCAGAGATGAAGGTATGACCAAAAGTCTTCCAGCTAGGTGGAAAGGAAAATGTGAGGTTGGACAAGAGTTCAATGCCTCTCTTTGTAACTATAAATTGATTGGAGCTCGATACTTTAACAAGGGTGTCATGGCTGCAAACCCCGGTGTCACACTCAGCATGAACTCGGCTAGAGACAGTGCAGGGCATGGGACGCATACATCTTCCACAGCTGCGGGGAACTACGTGGACGGGGCATCTTATTTTGGTTACGCTAAAGGAACAGCCAGAGGCGTAGCACCGCGTGCCAGAGTTGCCATGTACAAGGTTATCTGGGATGAGGGGCGTTATGCCTCTGATGTTCTAGCCGGAATGGACCAAGCTATTGCTGATGGTGTTGATGTTATTTCAATTTCCTCTGGCTTTGACGACACACCATTGTACGAGGATCCCGTAGCGATTGCTTCATTTGCAGCCATGGAGAAGGGTGTGGTGGTTTCAGCTTCAGCCGGAAATGAAGGCCCCGAGCTTGGGAAATTGCACAATGGCATCCCTTGGGTCTTGACCGTTGCAGCCGGCACAATAGACCGCTCATTTGGAGGAGCATTAACCTTTGGTAATGGTTTAACCATTACTGGATTTACCTTGTTCCCAGCAAACGCCTTAGTAAAAAACTCGCCACTGGTTTACAACAAGACCTTCTCAGCATGCAACTCAACAGCAGCGCTAGCAACTGCACCAGATGCGATCATCATATGTGATGACACGGAGCCTATTTATTATCAAATATCTCACATCATTCGGTCGGGGCTTCTTGGAGCTATCTTTATTACCAATAATCCTGAGATACGCGAATTAGGTTACGTTGCAACTCCTAGCGTTGTGGTGAATACGAAGGATGGGCGGACTGTGATCGAGTACGCACTAAAAAGTGAAAACCCTACTGTCAGCATAAATTTCCAACAAACGTTGCTCAATACAAAGCCTGCACCCGCTGCTGCTTCTTACACTTCGAGAGGTCCTTCAAAAAGTTATCCGGGCATTTTGAAGCCGGACATAATGGCCCCGGGGTCATTAGTTTTAGCTGCTTGGGTTCCCAAGGTTGCAGCGGGTAAGATCGGGTTCAATGTGAACTTACCTAGCGACTACAATTTGATATCCGGGACATCCATGGCATGCCCTCATGCTTCAGGTGTAGCTGCTCTACTGAAAGGTGCGCACCCGGAATGGAGTGCAGCGGCAATTAGATCTGCTTTGATGACCACAGCTAACCCATTGGACAATACTGGCAATCCAATTCTTGACGACGGTGACAATTTCAACTTTGCTTCACCATTAGCTATGGGAGCAGGCCACATCGATCCTAATAGAGCACTTGATCCGGGCCTAATATACGATGCAACTCCACAAGAATATGTCAATCTCTTATGCTCCACGAACTTTACTCATAACCAAATCTTATCCATCACTAGATCACACGCCTATGATTATTCCAAACCATCTTCTGATCTCAACTATCCATCTTTCATTGCGTTGTCCAACAATCATCACAAAACAAAGACAAGGGTTCAAACATTTCAGAGGACCGTAACAAATGTGGGAGATGGTGCGGCTAGGTACAGGGCTTCGGTGACTTCTCCAAAGGGTTCGCAGGTAACAGTCTCCCCAGAGATACTGATCTTTGCATACAAGTATGAGAAGCAAAGTTTTACGGTCACTTTAAATTACAAAGCGAAGAAGAAGGGGAAGGCTTCTTCTGGTGCACTTGTTTGGATCGAACAAAATGGAAAATACACTGTCAGGAGCCCGATTGTAGCGTGACCACTTGTTTAATTGATTTGATGATCATGTATGTAGCTAGAATAAAATTTAAGCATGCTGCATGCTTGGTATTAAGAAAATTAAAAGGAGTCTATTTTAGTTAATGGAATGATCATGAACTAATGAACTAATGGAATAAACTTCTCTTTGAAAAATATAACATGATTGGATTGAACTTAATCATATTGTTTCTACCCACCGCAAGGCTATTGCTGGTGTTTTGCTTAAAGACCAGCATATACATGCTCCATCACCAAGGACGAATCTTGGTTTTGTTTCTACTTCTGAGATAAAGTTACCGCTCAAGTGGTGAACTATTATAGTCCACTATGGAATGTGAACTTAATAATTGACTATTTTGTATGAACGATCACCGTGCAATGCCAGACTCTATCTGCATTCAAATTTTGGGTAACCAAGTAGTGAGTGAAAGGAACCCTCCTCCAACTTACAGCCTAGTGCAGTACCGGCCAGTAGGCTGGATCGGATATGCTAAAAGGTTTCTTGCATTGTTGCTATTGAACTATACATGTGTGTGTGTGTGTGTGTGTGTGTGTACACACACCATTGCATGTGAAGTTGATTTGGCTGGATATTATTGCTGTTTTTTTCCAACTTATAACATATTTTATTTTTTCCTATATCTTTCCACACAAACTAGTACTACTCTTCTAATTCCATGATCTCTCTACTTTATCATTGGCTAAGAACACACTACCTGGCTAGTATTTCCAGTATTTAGGTATGACTTTCCACTCAATCCATGTAGTTTAAAGATCACCAAACTGCAACCTAATGTAAACAACATGGGTACAGTGGAACATTTTCAAACTTTAGGATCTGGGTGCCAATTAAATGGCACCAATACATGTAAGTCTTTCTCATGTTGCTGACACGTCATGTGATAGCAAATGTTCTGCTTTGTGCATTTTGGGCCTGACCTCAATCCCATGAACAATGAGGCCAGCCTTTAATACACCAGCCACCTCCATACATGTCATCTCCATTAACTTCCCATCCCCTCCTCCTGGGCAGAAGAACTCACCCAGTTTCACCTCCAACCAGCTGTCCGCTCTTTCCTTTGGAAATCGATGCGTTTCTTCGTTTTTTCTGTTCTTCTTCTTCTTCTTCTTCTGCCTTCTTCTTCCGGCTTCTGGGTCCAGAAACACAGTAGTGTTCTTATTGTCAATGGGGGGCTCTCCATCTCCTCCTGTTGTGACCTTTACAGGCACCTCAAATCCGTATGCCCCTTCCCTCAACTTGAACACGAGATAAGCTTCGTACGTTGTGGCTGGGGACAGGATGCGCGTATCAATTTTCCCACGAATTTCAAGCCACCAAACATGCACAACCTCAGCCACCTCCTCAAACCTGCATAGTTCCATTTACTTGAATTCTACACACTAGTAAAAAAACCAACAAACTTTTCTCGAAAGCACTTTTAATTAGGCTGTCTACGAGCAATGTCAAACAGAATCTTAATTAGAATATGGATGAAAAATTATTAACAGACCTGGATTCAGGCAGACAAATCCATTCCCAATATTGAGGAGTATCGCCCCAGGTAATCATAAGCTCCCTTGCAGATATCATATAGCATTTTTTCCCACTCCATTTGTCCACCGAAAAGCTCTGCAATTAATATTGCGTATGCATGATGTCAATTATAATTACATACATGAATAACAAATTAATCACAATAAGTCAATAACAAAAAATAAGGTATAGTTAATATGAAGTTACCATCTTGCCCTGATCGATGAGGACCGGGTTGTCACATAGAGACAGGAAAAGGTCCTTCTTGGATTTCCAACTGGAAGAAGAAGAAGAGCAAGGAGGGACCGGGAGGGAGGAGGGGGACTGAGGCTGTACGGAGGACTTGCCGAGGATCGTGTAGACATCGGGCGGAAGGAACCTGTCCCAAACGGCGTCCGATTCAGCGGCCGACCGAAACCCCTAGACACCGCTGAAAGCCTGCACGCGTCTGGAGGCGTCGTTAAGGAGGCCACGGTGGCTTTGCATCCTTCTGGCAACGCCTCCAGATCCATCGCTGGCGTTCCTGTAGTTTGTCTTTGTATTGCGTTTTGGTGTTTGTAAACTAGTGTAATATATGCAGGGATTTCCTAGATGAAGTCTTAGAGGTTAAGTTTAGGGTTGTTTTATAACGCATCAAAGTATATGGTATGCACCTGGTTTATAGAAACGTTAAATTCGTTGGATTCTTGGACCAAATACAAAAAGAAAAGATCTTGACCTATTCTCTGGGGATGCATACAAATATAGAGTGGTTTTAAATTTCGAGTATCAGCCTAATTAATAAGAATGGATTTTATTTCTCTTAGATTTAGTAATACATTATTCAGCCTATATTCAATGCACATATAAAAGGTTAATTTTTCGAAAGACCTATTTGTCGTTTTACCCTCAAAACTTGTATACAACTACCAATTTTCCTCATGAATTTTAATTTAGCTAATTATCCCTGAACTTTTATAAATAGATTTTGAAAATTTTCATCTAATCTTCCATTCATCTTGATCACGCGAACATCACATGGCACGCATATGACGGGGAAAAGATAATTTTATTTTGATAAATTGGGCGCAAAGTCAGTAGTTTGCAGCTGCGAATTGGATTTCAACTAGCTGAAGAGAAGAAGAAGAAAAAACAATCTACTATCCACATTAGGGTAATATTACTTTATTGCCCTCAAACATTTTTCATCAGACTTAAATGGATAGGAAATTGGATGAAAAATTTTAAACCTAATGTTAGAAGGGAAATTAACTTATCATAAAAATTCAGAAGGATAATTAGCTAAAATTAAAATTCAGAGAGAAAATTAGTAACTGCTTAAAGTTCTACGAGAAAATCGAAGGATAACTCTTTTCAAAATAAGAGAAAAGGTTATTGGGTTTCCTTTTTCCCTTTTGATTTCAAATTTTTTACTTTAATAAGTCATCAGCACTATCTAGTATCTAGTGTATATTCTTTTAAGTTAGAAATCTCAAATTCAAATTATCTTGTTAACGAATTTAATGTAATAACACCGACAGTGGCAGACCCAAGTTAGGATAAAAAGTCCAAATCGAGCACTTGAACTCGGTTTGATTTGCGACGCGACGCCAGATGACCTCGGTTCAATTTGTTGTGCACCATGAACTTGGCCGAGAAGAGAATGCAGGCATTCTTAGGTCAAAAAACTATACGTGTGATAACACATCTCCCGATCTCTCCATCCATCAAATAAGTTTATAACGTTTTACAACAAGTATTCAAAGGTGAAAGGAATCATTAAATAATTATTCAAGAGGACTGTAACCACCGTTGATGACCAGGGCTCAGCCACTTATAATGTCGAAGTTAAAGAACCAAAAGGGTGCTGTTGTCGCGGTGTGACCAGAAAAATTGGTGTCCGGTAAGAAATAGAGAAGCAAGACTACACTTTGGCAATCAAGTACAAGAGCTCCGAGGAAGAAGCCATCCCATTTGGTGCAATTGTTTGGGAAGAAGAGAGTGAAAATTTTACCATGAGGAGCCCTATTGTGATCTCGTGTAGCCCTACTGTGATCGTTGTGTAAGAACACGTTAGCTAGCATTTTGGGTAGTTTGGTATGACTTCAATTCAAACCATGTAGTTCAAAGATGAGCAATTGCAACCATTGTATCAACAAAATTATAATACAGTGAGCCTTTTTGTTTCTCTTACTAGTAATTTTCCTGATATGTAACGTCGACAATGCACCCATTACGTGTAAGTCCTTAGAAAAAGCTTAACTTTCTACACTCTTTTGGGCCTGACTTCAATCCCCTGAACAATAAGGCCTCTCTTCATTCTATGAACGTCAAGTTCCTTACATATCATCTCCATTAACACCCCATCTTCTTCTCCTGGACAGAAAAACTCTCCAATCTCCACCTCCAGCCAGCCGTCGGGCCTTTTCTTTGGATATTGAGTTTCATCGATTTCCATGGGTCTCCCGGTAATGTTCTGTCTCCCCAGAAACACAATGCGCTGACTACTAGTCTCTTCTTCTCCAAAAAGTCCTACCTTGACCTCCAAGGGATCGTCATGATCAAATCCTTTAGCCCTTTCACTTAACATGAACACAAGATAAGCCTTGTAGACAGTGGAGGGGGAAAGAATCCGTGTATCAATTTTGCCACGGATCTCAAGCCACCAAACAACTACAAGCTCAGCCACCTCCTGAAACCTGTTTCATTTAACATGACATATACTAATTAATCGCCTAATTACACACATACACACATATTTCAATCTATATATATACGTCGCTAAAACAAATCCAACCGCAGAATAAGCACGATATGGAAGCGCTTTCTCAACATCTTAAAAGCATAGCTGTTAGCTTAATCAAACCAACAAAACGTAAGATGAATGAACTTTACAGACCTGGCGTTGGCAAGAGAAATCCATTTCCAGTAGGCAGGAGTATCACCCCAAATAATCATAAGGTCCTTCGGCGATATCATGTAACATTTTTTCCCACTCCATTTGTCCAGAGTAAAACTCTGCATATATAGATCATAGAAACAGATTGGAAAAGAACACAAAAACTTATTCTGGCTAGTTTTTCATGCATTAGTTCCAGCAGGCACGATCTCAAAGTCTAAAGTCATATTTTCATATTAATATATGACAATAAAAAATTCTCAGAAAGTAGAGAGAAACAAATAAAATCTTCAATATATTCATGTTTCAAATTTTGGGAGCTATCCCTAATCCCACCACAAAAGCGAAAAAGAATGTATAAAATTACCATCTTGCCGTCGTCAACGAGGACAGGGTTTTCGCAGAGAGTGAAGTAAAGCTTCTTCTTGGAGGAGGAGGAGGAGGAGTGAGATAGGATGGAGGGGATATCAGGGGGAAGGAACTTGTCCCAAACAGCGTCGGAATCGGCGGCTGACATGAAACTCTTAGACACCGCCGAAAACCTGCACGCGTCTCGAGGCGTCGTTAAGGAGACGACGTTAGCTATGCATCCTTCGGGCAACTCCTGCAGATCCATGTGAACGTGATGATGATCGTCATCGAGTACCATCGACACCGGCGTCCCGCAGCCCCCGCAGGTGATTCCTTCTCCTCCTCCTCCTCCTGCTGATGCACCGGCGTCGACTGTCTTCTTTTGCATCTCTGATTGATCTCCGCCGCGGCGGTGTCTCTTCATGTTTTCTGTCTGTGACGTTGACTCTCGCGTCGTGCGTGTACTTTGTGGTAAGTGTTCTGTTGTGTGTAAGAAACTTGTCATATTTGTAGGGAGAGAGCCTTACGCGTTAAGTCAGGGTTCAATTTTTCCACGAGTTTTGCTTCGTTTTCTAATGTTGACAAACGCTACACTTTCTAGAAAACTATTTCCAAAATTTATTTCTCACTTTCGACACAGTGTAAGCTTCTTAGAATTAAATTAGAATATTTTAGAGCATAAGAGATTTTACCGCAGCAGAAGAAAAACAATCATGCACATGCACTATGATATGTGGTCAATTCACACTCTCTCCGATAACTATCTAAAACTAGTTGTATTCCAAAAAATAATTGGCCACCAAATTGCTATATTTTAGACCCGAACATTTTTTTTTTTGGAATTTAATATTTAACCTTGTCTTTCTCAATAAAATAATAAGATCACTTGCAAATATTTTCACAACGTAAGATTTTTAAAATTAGTTTAGAAATATTGATTTTTTTTTTTTCTTGCAATCGATATTAAAGGAGATGACTGAGCATCACATTCTAGAGTGGAATGATCCAACTTTTTATATTGGGCCTAAAAGTAATTTCGTTAAAGGCCGAAGATAGCAAAGATTAGCAAGCCCAATAACAAGAAAAGCCCAACACGAAGAATAACAAGCTTTAGCTAGATACTAATGGTGCAGGAAAAAGAAGCTCTTATCCTTTTACCATTTAAGAACGGCATTCATGCAAATAACTCAAGTATTGATACAATAGATGCGATTCCGGCAACGGAAGTTGAGAATTCAAAAGCCGATACCGCTCGTTGTCCCTTCACTAAGCAAAAAAAAATCAATCGTCGTCATCCTTTAACTCAAAAATTACAGTAAACATTGATTTGAATCCTAGTAAATACAAATGGTAATTCGAGTGTGACCGCTACAGAACAAACATTCTGGTTTCGACAACCTTCTTCTCGCAATATTTGGATCTGATACACTGACTTTACACATCTCAGAAAAAATGCAAAACCTGAAAATTAAAGACAATTAAAGGCATCTGGTAAGCTAAAAGAAAAAATAGACGGTGCGTGTGTTTAGAGAGAGAGAGAGAGAGAACTGAATTTTGAACGAAAGTAATTTATGCAGCATAAACATGACACGATAAACACAGAATGTGGACCGAAAGTTACCTCAATGAAATTGTACAAGGGAAATGCATAGACCACCGAAATTGGTTCTGACATCCAAAAAAATTGATTAGCCATCTCCAAAGAAGCAACCGATTCACTACTTTACAACAACATTAACCAGCTTCCGCGCCAAATCTCTGCACCAAGAATTCATCTAGCTGACCCCAGTTTGGAATACTACATTCGCTCATTTTATCAGAGGGCAAAGATCGAATGCATCCAAGAATGTGTGTGACATCCCGGCGCAGCCTGGTGGACAAAGTGAAAAGTTGTGTTTATTAAGGAGTCCTAACAATTGTATGCGCACAAGGGGGGGGGAACTGAAAAGGTAGTACCTGTCCTTGGCTTGTGGTGTGCTGATCTCTAACCGTGAAAATGCCTCTGATATTTGTGAATGGAAGACCAAAATCACTTGCCTGAAAATTACAAACCACAGTAATCATTAACTGCCCTCTTCATCAACCAAATCACACTGATTAAAAATGTGGAGGGAAGAAGCAAGAACGTCAAGCTAACAAATGGAACTGGATGATCCTTTGAGTCTTTGACCAAGTTCCCAAGATAATTTCAAGTTATATGAACCTTACCTGAAAATCGCTTGAACATCGACCTCATGTAAAGTTCGAGTTAGAACACGTTGCAAGTATCCAACTTCCTGAAAATCAGTTGGGCAAGGCCCCATCAGATCAATTAAGATAAAGAAACTAATACAATAACTAAGTGCTTATATAAAAAAAAAAGGTACCTTGGTAAGGGATCGAGCAAATTGGCTGGGCTGTGGGTCAGCCTCTTCAGGTCTATTCCAGCTCTCTACAATTTGAGGCAACCCGCGTAGATGAACCAATAACCTTTCTCTCATGATCTGAACTAGTTTGGTGTGTATTTCATCTCTATGAACCTTATAATCCTGTTTAAATTGAATGAATAAACATCACAATGGTTTCTGGAATATGAGCATAATAACTGGCTAATGTAAATATGAGCTCAAATAATCTGATTTTAGACTTCGAGATACAGATGCATTATGAAAGGATAACAATCTTGACAAACATGTAAAATTACATAATCATGGTCAGAGTCATGAAACACAAAAGCAAGCACATGCAATACGTTTGATAATTCATGAAAGGGGACCAAAAAATAATTATCTAGAAAAGTGCGTGGTACCACAATCCCGTAAAACACCATCAAAATGAAGGGAAAAATTATATAACTAAAATAAAAGTAGAATACAAATCCCTGAAAATGTTAAATCTGTTGCCCAGTGTGAAAAGACAAACCTGAGCTACTCGATCAATTTCAGATAACAACAATGCTTTTCTTGTCTCTGGCACTTTTAGAAAAAGAATTTGCCTGATTTCTTGCAGAAATGGAATGAATAAAGTCATTACTCCATTGCTCAAAGTATAACTCTACAAATAAATAGATATATACATTCACAGCAAAACCAACAATTTTTTAAAATTTTTTAGTCGCCTACCAGGAATAATAGCATATGTAAAACTGATGACTTGACTTGCCAAGGCCAAGTGTTTAGAAGTGATAGACTTTAAACCGGATACCTGCATTAGCACATGTGATGTATCAAAAAGCCGCAAGAATGACCCCGAGGAGCATAGTCAGTAGATATAACAGGATATAGTAACCAAAAACATCGAAAGGGGTTTCAAACAATCACTTAAAGCATTTAGGAGCTCAAGAAAGAAAATTACATATAAAACCCGTGAAACGAGTTTTTGATACATGTACATTGAAGAACAGTAGATATTTGATTCGCTCAGTTGCATAAACCTTTTGGAGTTTCTAAGTGAAAGTTACTAAATAGTCTGCAACAATATCATCTATTATTGAGAGAAATTCTACCTGCATGGCACCGGCACCAAGAACAAGCTGACACGTTCTTGTATTGAAAAATTTTAAAATTTCTACAATACGATGAACAACTTCAGAGGACAGTGCTGGAAAAAAGTTGTTCATATCAATGTACTCTGACAACATCTTCATCAATATCAAGCCACTGGAAGAAAAACCAAGAACAAGGAGAAAACGTAACTAAAGGGTGGCTTATACTGAAATATTCTTTTACTTATTGAAAAAAATTTAATAAAGTTCCTCAATAGGGAAAAGAAGAGTACAAATCAAAACTCCAAATTGCAAATCAGGATTGGTATAAAAAATAAAGAATAAATGGGGAAACAGAAAGATAGAAAACTAAGGCAACTGACCAGTTTACCATGTGAAAACCAACACCTTTGTAGAAAAGGGTTTGAGAGGTTGATTTTCCTCGCTCCTTCACGTTGCTGTGGTTATTTTGAGCAACAGAGTTTGCAACATCAGCCTTATTTTTCTCAGTTCCATCAGAATTTGGTGTCTCCTTTGCAGTACTACCTGCAGATGTTTCACTAGAATCCGCCCCTTTAGATTGCTGTTCAGCAATTGATGGTCCTGTATCTGCTGCATGTGAACTATTACTGGGTGTGGCCACCTCATTGTAGCCAGTTTCCGTATTATCTTGGACAGTATCCAGGTTCTCGGTTACCAATGATTCAGAACTAAATAGTGAAGTGACAATGACCTGAAATTCATCAGGAACATCCACTTCCACCCACGTTTCTTGGTCAAGAACAGCTTTAATTTTTGCCATCTACAACAACCATAAAAACAATTAGCTCATAGCAACATACTTGGTAAAATAAAAAGTGAAGTATAAGTATACACGATCAGAAACTAACTCGAGATTCATGCTGAAAATCCATGAAGGCTTTGGCCTGCGACTGTAGTGTTCCCCTGATGCTAAATCCTGGCCTTCCCCCGATCTGTTTAGGTTGGCAGTGCCACAAAATGGCACCAGAGACATAACATTGTTGATCTTAAAACTAAAGGAAAGAAGAAGGACAAGAAAACAAAGGGGACAGATAAAAAGTATAAAATATGAATACCTTCTCCGTAGCTGTTATAAAGTTTTGTGTGATGTTATATATGCTCAAAAACTCCTGCAATCTCAACTTAGGATGAAGAAGAGCACGAACCCCGAGTAGCTTTGCCCATCTTCCATGAGCAGCATCACATGCTGCAACAACAGCTTCTGTGTTTTCTCGTAATACATCAGCTCTGTTTAGAATCACATTTCTTCAGAATACGCATACATTTGGAAACACTCTAACATGGGGACATATCAAAGGTAAACCCTAAAATTAACAAAAGAATTTCTGACATTCATTAGGGCAAAATTTATTTTACTGACAAGACAAGCACAAAACAAAATCTTAAAATTAAATGATACAAAAGGTTTTCAGCAAAGTTGAAATTTTAGACATCAAAGTAACATAATCAAGAGACAAGACCTCACCTAAAATTCTTAGAGATGTTTGAAGGACTTGCTGCATCATTTGCCTTCCCTTGAATTGAAAGGGCCTTTGTAGCAACCCTCTGATGTGAATATGGCATAAGCAAGCCACCTTGACCATCACTCTCTTGAGCTGTTTCTGCAGCTGCGGCACCAACTGCAATTGCTGCAGCAACAGAATCGGCTGCATAGTGACCATCGAGGTTGCACATAATCCATTCAATGGCCTTCTTCACTTCAGCAGCCCGCACTAGATGTGCCTGCATTCACTAAAATAAATCATATGACATCACACTCAAATAGTGGTTGATGCTTAAAAAAAATAGACAAGAACTTAGATGAAGCTAGCACAACAAAAAATGAATGAAATACAGCACATATGCCATCTGATAATAACTTATCGAACAATCTAAAAACAGATAATGTATGTATGATGAGTTGATGTGACAGTACCCGTTCTTTTATATGAACCGTTACACTTAAAACCAGTTGTCCCTTACCCTAATGCTGCCAAATGAATT